TTTCTTTTCTTTTCTTTTCTTTTCTTTTCTTTTCTTTTCTTTTCTTTTCTTTTCTTTTCTTTTCTTTTCTTTTCGTGTAAAGTTACAGTTCCACCGAGCATAGCACATGCAGACTTACCATTCAGAAGTGCGCTGTTCACTGCTGTCAGTTCTCTGAATGTTAATACTTGTGTTATTACTAGGAAACGTCAAGGAATGAGTTTCCAGTCACTGATCCATTTTCCTGAGCCAGCTTGCTGGTGGGGAATGAGGGCAAGAGGGAACAGAGGCAGCACACGGATTCTGAGCAGCTGACTTGCAGTGAACAGGGAGGCTGTGGTGGACCTCCTAGAGAGAAAGGAGCAGGCAGTACCACCTAGCTGGCCTTGGCTGTCCATCCCTCCCAAAAAGCTAAACAGGGTTGGATCCATTTAGCGCTTGGATGAGAGACCACTAGGAAACCCCATGGCTTTGGGCTAAACCTGGAAGCTGAAACACCATCCCAGAAAAAGGCACTGGGAAGTCAGTTCCATGTTGCTGCCAAGAGCATTGCACAGGCATTTCCATGTGGTCACCAAGAGTCAAGCTCACCTTGAGGGCATTTTTACCTTTTTACAAAAAAAAAAAAAGAAGAAGAAGAGTTCTAAACAAGGTGAGAATGCAATTTATACAGCAGGGAAATGGTTCATTCCTCCCTACCAAGGGTCCTGCACGTGCGCAGTATTGGAAAGAAACATGGTAACCATACCGAGCAGGAGCATACTCAGGAGTGGTCAATAAAGTCAAGATAGTGCCTATAACCGCATAACTGCCATGTTGTAGGTAAAAAAGGGGGCTTTGATTGCACAGTTGTAGCCGCCATCTCAACTTTTTTGGCACCCTCCTCCAATGGATGCTCTGTCCCAAGTTGGCTGAAGATTGCAGGAGGTTGGGCACTGGAAAAGGAAAGACGAGCTCTGGGCTGTCTTATAGGCTGACGGCTTTCGTGCTGAAGACTCTAGCTCAGGCGAGACCCCATATCTTCGTGGATAGCAAGCACATCACCGATGCTCAGAAGTCCCTGGCTGCAAGGCAGAGAGAGAATGGATGCTTTGAGAGCACGGGATCTCTTTTGAACAATGCCCTCAAGGTACAAGAGGCGGGTCAGAGAACACTGTGATATGTCTTTGGAAGTGAGAGTTGGGTATATCGCGAGGAATTGAAATGCAGTGGGAATGGGGCATTTGAATCATGCAATGGGCGTGATCATACCCAAAGCGATGAGCTCAAGAAGGAATGGGTGCTGAAGGAATGTGGATTGAAGATACATGTGGGTCGAGTTCATCTGGCCATATAGAGAATGAATGGGCATTACTCTGGATTTATAATCTGGAAGGATAGACATGTGCTCTCTTTCCATTTATGAACTGGTACAATATTGACAAAATGGAGAGGCTCATGAGTATTCTGCAGTCAGGACTTCATGTTTAAGGTAAAACATTGACAGAATAACTTCTGAGGGTAACATATAATTTGTGTGTGTGTGTGTACACGTGTGTGTGAGGGTACGTGTCTTTGTTCTTTCCTTGTACTTTCTTTTTTGCATAGAAAATAAGTTTTCTTAAAGGATGGGCAGGAACGCCCAAGTCTAGCCTTCTTCTGCCACCTCTTCCCAACATATCTCTGTTTTGATTCAGGAAAAAGTATCTATCAGGATTAGAAGTTATGGAATGACCGATCCTCCATGAATTTCATGAAGACCGTGTCACTTGACGGGGGCTATCACCATATTTAATAGCAATGAATTTCTTAACCTAATGGGACGTGGTGCCAAGAATTAGGGTAGTGTTCAGATATGGTAACAGTGATACAACAAAGGCTGTGCTCCCAATTCAGAGGCATCCAAGGAGGAGCAAAAAAATCAACATGGCATTTGAAGCTGTGCAATTGAAGCTCCACCCCTTTTTTATCTGCAATGCCAGTAAAAAACAAGCAAGGCTTCAGTCATGTGCTCACAGCTGCCATCTTGACTTTTTCAGCCCCCTAAAGGCACCCCATGCCTCAATTCCACCTAAAACTAGTACAAAATTGAAAGAGGGATGAAATGAGAACTAATACAGGTGGTCCTCACTTAGTGACCACAATTGGGATCTGCAACTCCATTGCTAAGCGCTGTGGTCGCTAAGTGGAAAATCATGTGACTGTGATGGACTGACAGTGTCACTTCCCATTTGGTTGTTAAGCAAGTCACCACAGTCATTAAGCAAAACATCATGTGACCACGCCTTGCAATTTTATTTCCACATTCTCCATTAACTCTGCTTGTCAGAAGCTGGTTGGGAAGTGCCTGAATGGTGATCATGTGGCTGCAGGATCCTGTGATGGTTGTAAATTCGAGAATTGGTCACAACGCTTTTTTTTTTTTTTACATCACTGTAACTTTGAATGGTCATTAAATGAGGCAGGTAGTAAGCAAGGACTACCTGTAACATTTTAGCTAACATAGATGGAAGTTCCCAATCAAACCTAGCCAGGGATATCAGAAAATCTATTTATTGATTGATGACAGATATTTCTGCATTGCCCAGTTCTCAAGACTCCATGATTTCTTGTGAGGGAGATGGAATATAGATTTGGAAAGAGTGGAAAGATGATGGAGGAGACGATGGTGGAGGTGCTTTCTGTAATGGGTGGAGCTGATCTTTCTCTCTCTCTCCCTTCCCGCAGGGAGGAGTTGATGACCAGATCACTCTTTCGGCTTACATCACCATTGCTTTGCTGGAAGTACCACTGCCTGTCACAGTAAGTGTGCAAAGTGCAATAATGATTGTGGTAGACTAGGACTGGGGAGAACCATGTTCATGTCCCCACTTGGTCAGGGAGTTCACAGTAACTTAGGCCAGTTAAATAGACCACATCTGACTAGGTTCATAGCATATGCAAAGCCATGCTATAGTCTGATGAACCCAAAATGTAATTGTATAACTTGTTTCTGAATAAGCCCAATTGCCTCTTTCTTATACTTCCTCTTCTTCAGTCAACTCTGTTCTAACCTGCTTCTTCTGATTTGGCTCCTAATGACCAGCTCTTTGGCTCTTGGCAGCTGACTCCACCTAAGTAATTCTTCCAAGCAAGATTTTCACAGTCTTCTTTAGCAAGATTTACTGAAAGGAGAGGGAAAGGGTTACAAGAACATCAGCAGCTGAACTATTACACTTTAGGACCAGATTGTCTCTCAGTACATTAGGGTGCAGATCTTTTGACTTTCTTTCTAATGGTTTTCATGTAAACTGGGAAGGAGGAGCTTCTTTTCACAGATAATGTAGGAGTTTGCAGGTGGCTGTTTACAAACCATCTTCTGAATCCTTATGTTATCAGTCCTGATTTACCCTGCTTCTCCTCCTCATGCTTGGCTGGCCCACCAGAAAGCTCATCTTGGAACTGGATGAGCCTTATTCCAAAGCCACAGCAGTATGTATGAAGAGCAAGTATTTGGTAGTGGTTCAGGCAGCAAGAGTTGTTGAAGCTTCTGTGCTCTTCACTCAACCTGAGCTTCTGAATTCTGCCTCTTCCTTGGAGGAAGAAGATAACAATTGGCTTGCATGAATTGGACCATCAACCTGCTGTTGGTGCATTGTTGTGAAAGCCACTTAAGTTAACAACTTTAATGAATAAAATAGCCAACCTTGATCCCAGGACTTTGCTGAGAATCTTGCATACATCTATCCAGTATTCTAACATCTCAAACAGTGCCACTGAACTTGATCTAAACAATCCTTGAAGTTTCTCCATGATCTCCTTTTCAGGAACCTTCCTCCTGTCCAACTTAGTTTACAAACCAATGGTGTGAGGGGAGGGGAGTGAAGGATCATCTTGGCCTGGACACAGCATCATGCAATGGGTGTGATTATGTCATTTCACCCAAGCCAACCATTATGGAGCCATCAAGGTTTTGGAAACTGCTATGTTGACTTCCATTAAGCTTCCTGTCTTCTGCAGCTCTACTTGGTGCAAAGTGGTTTGTCCTGCCTGGAGACGGCGGCTCAGGCAAGAGAGATCCATGTTTACACTCGGGCTCTGATGGCATATGCCTTTGCTCTGGCAGGGAAAAAGGAGAAGAGGCAAGAAATGTTGGACTCCCTTCAAAAAATAGCTGTGAAGGAAGGTGAGAAATGTGTTCTTTGTTGTGGAAAATGTGTACCCACCTTCGCAGAACCAAAGAAATTGGAAATATGCTATAAAGTTTATTGGCATGCAAAGAATACATTGGGTTCCCAGTCAAGAAGAGGTACCAAGAGCCCCAAGCATTTTCCATACAGGATTATATAAGAACGGGAGGATACAATGATGCCATGAATAATTAATTTATGACTACTGAAAGGAGGTAAGCGAGCAAATGGCCCTTAACCTGGAGATGATGTGCCTTGTGGCCAACATGGAATTAATCTGCCTGCTCATGTTAGCATCATATTAACGCTCAACATCTGACTACACTTTATCATGACAATGAGGTGACCTCTTGGCTTGGGGTCATTGATCTTCACAATAATAACACTGTTTAGAAATCAGAGGGATATTAGGAGGGCATATAGACTTGGTAAGGAAAGTGACAGGACCCTTCAGGAGTGCATCCTGAACAGAATTCTAATACTGCTAAACATATATGCATTAATTTGAGCACAACACCATTTAATACAAACTACTTATAGACATAATAGCTGTACAGTTTGATGAGTGATGGAGCTTCATCAGCCTTCTTGATCTCTCTTTTAGGTTTTTGTGGACTCTGGATTCTTTTGATACCCCCTTTGTATAACCACAGCACACTTTTCTTGCCTCTTAACAGAGGTCCCAGGTTGGGGACCAGCTCTACTTTATCTTTCTTGGGGTAGAACTGGGGTCATCAGATGATGCCTATGGGTATCAGTCATTCTTTCTTGATACCTCCCAAATTCTCTGCTCCATCTATGTTTTGTTCTGAAGTACAAAGATGTTCACCAGCCCCAAAGGTTTGGAGTTCCCTGGGATGGGGGCAGTATTTACTACATAAACAATATGCAATTTATGACATAAATTGCCATTGACTTTTTTTTAGACCTCACAATCACAGTGTGTTTTACCGCTGCAAACAAGGCCTCCTCCTTAATCAAGTGGCCTCATCTGTGGAACCCAATGGATCAACACTGCCTCTGTCAGTTCCAGCACAGAAAATAGCATAGAATATTCACTCCTAAATTATGAGGGATCCAGTTTCCCTCAGTTGCAAGCAGGAGACAGAACTGGTGCAGAAACTGTGCCTGCTGAACTTTTTCCACCTATTTTGTTAATGTTGATAATGCAAAAGAGACATTGGAAGTGATGCCTTTGACCCACGAGGAGTGAGAGATGGTAGGGAGGCTGGGAAAATTATGGCAGAGAATGCAGACACAAAGGATCAAGAGAGAGGGGGTAGGAGAATTGGAAGCTTATCTCAGAAATGACAGCTTAGCCCAAGTGGTGAGAAACCTGGGAAGAAGCATTTCAGATCATTCAAAGAGACTTCCCCTAAATTAATGCAAAATAAATGATGCTGGGAAATGTCTTGTGGTTTTCAAGATTTTGTATTGACCCTGGACTATCGTTAAAGATCTCTTCCTGGAATCTGTCTAGTTTGCTTCTCTTGCGGGCCAGCTGCATGGGGCTTGATACCAGGGAAGCCAAATGTTTTTGTACAGAAGCCAATTTAAACTTCATATATGAAAAGATCTCTGGTGGGTGCTTGGACTGTGTAACCCAAAGTTAACTCTTCCTTCTCTCTTTGAAGAGGATGGCTCCATCCACTGGGAGAGGCCTGGGAAGCAAGAGGAGAGGTCTGATTTTCCATTCTTCTACCACCGCGCTCCCTCTGCTGAGATAGAGATGACCTCCTACGTGCTCCTCGCTTACCTGACCAAAAAACCGGCACCGTCCCAGGAAGAACTAACGATAGCAATTGCCATTGTCAGATGGTTGGTCAAGCAACAGAATCCCAACGGAGGATTCTCTTCTACGCAGGTATGTTCCCTCTCCACAGATTCTCAGAGGATGTTGAAGATGCTTTAATGCTCCCTGCACCAATTGGAGGTGAACTGGTGGACCTGATGTCTTTCCTGATATGCCCTCCAGATATGCTGAGTCTCAGCTCCCAGGATTCCCAGCTGAGATGTGTCACCCAAGAGAAATGCCCTCGCTTTGCTTTCTCTCGCAGGACACAGTGGTGGCCCTCCAGGCGCTCTCCCAGTTCAGGATAGCCACCTATTCCAAAGATGGAGTTGACGCCAGAGTGACCTTGAGTTCTGGAGATGCCACCCTGACGGAATTCCATGTAGACAGCACCAACTCTCTGCTGCTCCAGTGCCAGGATCTTCCCCAAGTGCCAGGACACTACAGGGCTGAGGTGACTGGTTGCATCTTTATTCAGGTGAGTGCCTTGGTGAGAGAAGAGACCAATTTCAATGCCTGGTGCTGGTCTGTGTTGAATTCCCAGGGAAGTCATGGGAGTGCAAGTTGAGAAGAAAAGGCATGAAAAAAAGCGAACAAGTTAAGTAAGGGATGTATAACATCTTTGAGAACATAACAACAGCCATGCTGGCTTGGCCATTTAAGCCTGGCATTTTGCTTCTTGTGGTGGCCAGCCAATTGCCTCTGGGCTGCTCACAAGCAAGAGACAGAATCCATTCTTCCCCCCACAACTTGGCACTTGGAGGCCTGCTGCCCTGAACTCAGAAATAACATTGAGCCTTGAGAGACCTGTTTTCCGAGAATGTATCCAATCCTGTTTTAGAAACCATCCAAGTTCATGACCATCACCATGTCTTGAGGGAATGAATTCCACATGTCAGTTCTGAAGTACAGAAGGAGACCTGAGGAGGGGGGGGGAGGGAGGAGAGAAAGCACTGGGGAAGAAAAGTGGCCAGAGACAGGTGGTTAGTTTATTGCAATGAAACTTGAGATATCTGTCTTGGCTCTCATCTATTGGTGAGTCCATTAAGGCAAAGCTGCCCCCATTACCATTGATCTTCTTTCTCACTGTCTTGGTTTAACGGGGAGGATGCTAATACTTACCTGATACCTCAAAACTGCCCATCTGTTTGTGTTCTGCACTATTTTGGAAATGTCCATTTTCATCCCCCAGATCAAGGATTCAGTCTTGTAACTCCTCAAAAAGAGCCAGTTTGTGGCCAGGAGCAGCTGGAGGGCCTTATTCAAAGCTTTTGGGTTCCGAAGCATCTTGGCTGTGCTGGGCTTAGGCTGAGGGGTACCAGAGCCCTGATCCAGCATCTCTGTGGAGTCCACAGCTGGTCCTCCCGTTCCACAGACCACACTTATTATATATATAATTTTTATTAAAGATTTATTTTTTTAAAAGGAAGATATAAATCAAGACAAACTGATATAAAGTAAGAAAAAGAAAAGAAAAAGAAAGAAATCAAAGAGAAAGTTAAAAGCGCAAAAAGGGGGAAAAAGTAAAATAGAAAAGAAAGAAAAAAGACACAAAGAAGTAGCTGCTGATCTTCTTTATAGCAGTTATAAATTTACCTCCTACTCTATGATTACAACATAATTCTTTTTTTTTTAAATAACCTATCCTGTTTAACCATCAAAACCATAAATCATAAGGTCAAATTTTCTGTTTTATGCAAAAAGCCCATAAGGGGTTCCGAGTCAGCAACAAATCTAGATATGGTCTTTTCTCTGACCGTAGAAGTCAATTTAGCCATTTCAGCAAGTTCCATCATCTTCACCAACCATTCCTCCATTGTGGATAATGTCCAATCTTTCCATTTTGGGGCGTAAAATAATCTCGCTGCAGTTATCATGTCCAAAAACAAAATTCCATGACTTTTTTTCCAACTGTTTGCTCATCAATCCCAAAAGAAAAACCTCGGGTCAAAATTGTATATTAATCTTTAAAATCCTCTGAATCAGTGTGTGTATTTGAATCCAGAATTTTCTTGACTTTTTTTCCAACTGTTTGCTCATCAATCCCAAAAGAAAAACCTCGGGTCAAAATTGTATATTAATCTTTAAAATCCTCTGAATCAGTGTGTGTATTTGAATCCAGAATTTTCTAGCTTTTTTACACATCCATATTTGTTTTAATCCGCTTCTCCAAATTCTTCTGCCATGGGAGACTTGAATAGCCCCAAATGATGGCATTTCCATTCCAGACCACCTTGAAATACAATGTGCCTTCACTGCAAGAAGACGCACCATTTAGGCTGCAAGTGCAGACAGTTCCTGAGACGTGCATCGGCCCCAAAGCCCACGTTACTTTTGACATTGCTATGAATGTCAGGTAATCTCTTCCTTGGATCAATGCTGAGCCAGTAGTAGGAGTGGGGAACCTCTCCTTGCTGATTAGCCGCTTCCTCTCCTCCAGGGATGGGCAGTGTCTGAGGGTTCAAGGGCTGAGACTCAGCTCCTCCACCTTCTGAAAGGCCCATTCTGCATTCCAGAGGTTCCATTCAATGGCAACATCGGAGGGAGGCCCCGAGAGTGCGCCCAAGCCTTTATGAACCCGCATACAGCTTTTTGCCCTGAGGCTGTACACTTCTTGCTTTAAAAAGAAATGTGACAAGCCTTCTTTCCTTTCTTGGTTTCCCAGTTACACTGGCCGACGCCTGGTCTCCAACATGGCGATTGTCGAGATTAAGATGCTGTCTGGATACATCCCAGTGAAACCCAGTGTAAAAAAGGTATTTTTTTTTTCCAGGTCCCCTTTTCCACCCAACCTTCAGGGCCATATTTCTTGACAATAGGAGATGGGGATTAAGAAGGCTGGAGCAGCCTTGCAGAAACTTTACCCTTTGTCCAATGAAGAGAGTAGCTATCATGCTCTCTCATGATATGAAATATGGCCCCTGCCCGTAGCATCCAATAGGCCAGCTTTTGCCAGTTGGGTGCAGCTGTATTTGAAATACAACTCCCAGGATCCTTCAGTGAACATGTCTCTTGGCCCCACTGGCTGAGAATTCTGGGAGCTGAAGTCCCAACAGGTACAGAAGGTGAGTTAAAGGCATGTCATCACTCACTTTGTCTTGCCTTAAAGCACATTCTGTTCCATTCCTTGAGGTCTGAAACCGTGGCAGTGATAGTGAATGCATGTCTGTACATCCAGGTCAAGCTTAACTCCTGGGGACAACCTGGAGATGTCTGTGTTGTTCTTGTGACAGCAATACAAAAAGCAATTTACCAGTGCAGAATTTCGGGATTTTGGCATCTTGGAATCTCCAAGTGCTCTCCCATCCACCTACAAGTCAAGCCCAACCTAGTTTAGCTTTTCAAAGTTCAGCCTATGAGGAACAGTTAAACGATCTGAGTATGTTTAGCTGACAGAAGAGATGGCTGAGGGGCGATATGATAGTGGTCTTCAGCTAGGGTTGTCACACAGAAGAGGGGATAGATTTAGTCTCAATTGTTCCAGAGAAAAGAACCGGAATGAGTGGGTTACTGCTACCAGGAAGCAGATCCAGGCTAGAATCAGGAGGAATTCCTGACAGTATGAGCAGACAGCCAGTGGAACAGACTGCCACATGAAGTGCTGAGTTCTTCCTCGCTAGAGGTCTTCAAAGACTGGATGGTCATCTGTTAGAGATGCCCTAGTGGATTCTTTACTGAGCAGGGGGCTTAACTTGAGGACCTGCACAGAATCCCAACCCTGGTTCTATGGCCCCCTAGTTCAACAGCATTACAATGAATGCTACTAAAACCCTTTCTGACTTTCATATGTTCCTACCCCTGAAGCTGGAAAAGCAAAATCAGATCAAGAGGACTGAAGTGAACATCAATTATGTCCTGCTATACTTGGAGGAGGTAAGTGAGGATCAGGAGCAGAGCCCAAATGGGAGACAAGACAGTTCTGCTGAAGAATCAAAGGGGAGGCCTTCCCTTGTCCTTATTTTTCTTGGAAGCAAGGAATTGTGAGCTTATTATGGGCTGAGTTTTTTCAGGTGGCTGCCACATCCTCTACTCATCAAAGGCAGCTCTCCCTCCTCCCCACACAGACAGGCACTGTGGGACAGGCACTGCAGTCCAACCAGTGTATTCTTCTATGTGAATAACCAGCATCTCTCTCATTTGTCATGATGTTGCTTAGTTCCACCACAACATCAGAATTTTTCCACTGGCATTCTCCAGGTATTAGATGATAAGCAGTATCTTTTCAGCCTAAGGAGGCTCAGATGGCTTCTATTTGGGTTGCTGCAGTGAGCAGGGGGTGGACTGCGTGGCCTCAAAGACCTCTTCCAGCTTCAGGACGGTGTGCCTTCAATCTGTCCCAAAGAAACAAGGAAAGGAAGAAAAAGAGATCCCGATGTGCTAGGACACAAGGAAAAAGGGAGGTTGAAGGCTCCAGATGGGTTGGATTACAATGCCCATCCTTCCCCAGGCAGTATATTTTAGGCCTTGCCCTTTCACCCTAAGGATGCTGAAAGAGCTTGGAGGTCTCCCTGGGGGACATCCCCAGGAGATTGCTGGAGCCAGTCCCTTTCTTCAGGGACTTCCATGGACAATGTCCTGTAGGGGTGCTCAATTTCTTACTCCTGTGCTGGACATGGCCAAGATACATCCAAGCTCTTCCAAGATTCCTGCAAGTGTCTGCACACGCTCTCTGTGCCTGGTTGTATCTCTCCGCAAGTAATCTCATAGTCCGCTTTTCTCGGCAGGTAAACAGCACAACGCAGACTTACTCCTTCACCGTGGAGCAGGAGACACCCATCCGGGGCCTGAAGCCTGCCTTGGTGAAAGTCTACGATTACTACGAAACTGGTGAGAAGGGATCTGATGGTGGCAGCTTCCATCAGCTTGCTTAACTGATTATTTTTCAAAATGCACTCGCTCAGCATTTTTTCTTCTTTTTGCATGAAGGGGCAAAAGTAACGGCTTGCAGCCTTGCCGAAAGCGGGCACGTGCTTTGGCCCTTAAAGTGCTGCTCTGTAAGAAAAATCCGTCAGATTCTTGGGAAGATTTCAGGATTTTTAATGCAACAGATAAATGACCTCTTGTACATCATTTGAAATCACATGCAAAATTAGGAGGGGGAAAACTCACAGGCTGGGTTTACATACTGTAATTTACTCAGTTGTTTAAAAACAACCTTGTGTGTTTCACAACCCAGAAGCTCAGGCATTTCCAGATCATGATTAAGTCCAAATCAACAAGGTTTGCCTCGTGCCACTGGGCTCCTGGCTAGCGCATAGAAGTAGGAGCCTAGCACAGCCGTGCAGAACAGAACTTCTCTAGGCCAGTGTTTCTCAACTGAGGCAAGTTTAAGATGTGTGGACTTTAACTTCCAGAAAT